AAAATTCTTATTCATCTACTCTAAAGGTATGCCCATGGCAAAACAATAATTTGATATATTAACTTATTACAATATTTTTCTGTCACAGTTATAAGTAGCAGCAGTGCAGAATTATTTGTTTCCTTTTTTGTTTTTTTTATGATTTTCTTTCTTTCCTAACTTGTTGGCATTGGTTGTTGTTTATTGAATTCATGCAGTTATTGTTAGTTGTTGTTACTCTCTATATCTCTCATTGTTATTATTTTTAGCTATTTATAAGAATGGTATCTCGATAAATATATATCATCACTCTCCTGATTTTGCATATGGGAGCGAATGACGGTGCATATAGCAAGCTTGTTTTTATATTTATGTGTATTGACTTTATATGCATAAAATGTAGAGTCCTATGCCGGTGTAATACAGCTTGTTGGAATTTTGGTTGATGTCGAAATAAGTAAAAGCTTATTATTGTTATTTGCATATTGTATGTTATATTTCCATATAATTCTCAAGAAATTGTTGGATTTGCTTTCATATTTTTTTAGCTCTTTTAGTGTGTTGATATAGAGTACTTCTTATATATCTTTTTTACTTTTCCTAATGTATTGATAATCTATCTCACCCTAGTTTTGCATATAAGAACTAATGATATTTGTATTTTTGTGTTTTTTCTTGATATATACATAAAGGGTAGAGTCATATGCTACTACAGTACAAGTTTGCTAGAATTTTGGTTGATATCGAAGTAAGTAAAAGTTGATTATTGTTAGTAAGTAAAAGTTGATTATTGTTACTTTGTTTATTTTATGCTATATTTCGATATAATTCTTACATTGTTGATATTGCATTCACATCTTGTTGGCTATTTTAGTAATAGTTATATACTAGTATTTCTTATTCACATAATTCTCTTTTCCTATTGTATTGACAATCTATCGCATGCTCTTTAAAATTTTTACCCAGTTATTCTAATGTTATGTTTATGAAAAAAAAAATTGTTTATAATAATTGAGATATTTTTCTTTGTTGCTGTTAAAAGTAGCAGTAGTTTGGAATTAATTACTGTCTTTTTTATTTCTTTTATGATTTTCTTTATTTTTTAATATGCAAGCAATGCTATGTCCAACTGCATCAACCGTATTATCTACACTAACACTTGAAGCTCAAAATTCCTCAGTGAGATAGCGAAAAAGGACATTAGAAAATAAGTAATCTTCTTTGTAGTAGGTAGAAAATCAGTAATTCATACCTTGAGAAATAATACTCTACTCCTATCAATTGTTGAGCATACAAAAATCAAAATATTATCATGATCAAATAAAATCCTAATTTATTGCATCAAAAGATCAACATTCCTACAAAAACAAAACCAAGAAACTAATTACCACCAATTCAAACTATAAGAGTAAGGCATACCATCACAACATGTTTTTTTAGTATGTCGTCGTTGTATGACCATCAACGGACATCTTTTGTATGTCATTGCTTGACAACCTTGGCTTGTTCACATTGAAATCTGTTTGTGGACAATTGGGGGGGGGGGAGAGGGCCATCTTCACCTCCATGGCGACCACCATTTCTTGCATCTCTTAAAATTAAATTGTTTATAGGAGTCCAACTGCATCAACCGTATTATCTACACCGACACTTGAAGCTCCAAATTCCTCATTGCCAACACTTCAGGTATGGTTAGCTTACATATCAAATTATGATAGCGGGTGTACATTGTGTTTTTGTTTTCAGCTTTAACTTACAGGAATAGTCAAGTTAGTCTTTGACGGGCATGATTGCGAGGCTTTGGCCTAACTATGCCATTGAAGGTAACAACTTTGGTTCACTTTCACCACGAAGAAATCAACTTTCGTGCTTTTGTGTTGAGCATGGTTGGAAGCAGGTAAAAACGAACGACTGTTGACTTTTTTGCGCCTATGTAGGTAGGTTTGGATTTTTTGTCTTCGTTTCCTTTTTACTTTCTATTTTTTTGTTCTACAAGTTTGATGTAATTTAGTAATCTTCTAATTGGTAGGTTTTTTAATTGACAATTTTTTAATGTTATTGAGTGCCTTTAGGTACACGCTTTAGCTAGTTAAACTATATTCATTTTCAAATCTCGTTGTCTCTTAAGTATCTCCATCGAAATCATCTCGAGTCCATTCCACCGCAACGTCAACATTATTTTCGTAACTCCCTCATAAAGCATAATCATCTAACCCTTGCATCATCTCCTTTCTCCATTTCAAGCCTTCCTTTGAGCACTCCTCACTGCTTCTTTTTTATCGTCTTTGTCTTTGTTCCTCATAATAATTGCAGACAGATTAGCCCTAACAATACCTTCTCCTTGGTTGACGAAGAAGACAGTAAAAGCATAGGCCGAACAGGCCCCAAAGCCCTCCGAAAATCAATTCCCTTTTGGGAAGAAATGGGCCAAGCCTAGATGGTCCACCCACCTTTAAGTCTCCATAATAATAATGGGCCCCATCCAAAGGATTTTTGGTACCACTACCCCCAAAAACTCTCAGCCTTTCTTCATGGTTCATCTTTCTCAAACCTAAGGAAACTAGACTTTGGCTTATGAACACTGATATGCAGCCTGGATGGCCCATCCACCTTTAAGTCTCCATAATAATAATGGGCCCCATCCAAAGAATTTTTGGTACCATTACCCCCAAACACACTCGGCCTTTCTTAACGGCTCATCTTTCCCAAACATAAAAAAACCCTAATTTGAATCTGGTAGATTTTTCTATTAAACTCAACATCCAACGATATCGTAAGGAAACTACACTTCGGCTTATGAAAACGGATACGCGCCTAAAAAAAATTCTCACGATTCATTGTTTGACAGTCAATTTTGATGACCACACAATTTTCCAATACATTTCCCGGTGCCATAAGTGAAACGGTAGCCCCTCCACAGCAATCCCCCCTCCTAGAAAAGATGCTTTGCTGCGAAACTTGTTGGAATCAGGACATCATTCTTGCAACTTCACCATTATTGATCCCTCCAAAGTATACTTTCAATTTCATCAACCTGTTTTCAATCTTGGCAGAAGAATATTGCCTTATCAGTCTGAAACACATTCAACTTCACATCAAAATTCAAGACGATTGACAAAGCTCTTTGAATCTCTCTCCATGGATGAAAAAGACTTTCTTTAATGTATATTAGTGCACTTTTCCATCTCTTTTCTTCTTTTTGGAATTTTTCATTAGCCACCATCTTATTGGAAGCCTTTTCTACAATCCCATCTCCCTTCACTACTCCCTTACTTTTATTCTATAAAAACAGAGCATTTTTTTGACTACGTAAAAATCCATCCAACATTCTCCCAAATCCTCCCCAGTCCTTTCTATCATCCTCTTCATGAACAATAAAGCCCTTTCTCCTTCCATCGTTATCAACTTGGAGATTCTAACAAATTTTCCAAACAGACTATCCTCCACTTCATCGTAAACACAACTCCTCTCCTCCCAATTTCCACTCTTACCATTCCAACACAAGACTTCAGAAAAAACAATCGTTAACATTTGAATATTCGATTGGTTGAAACAACAGTAGAATTCAACTAGTTTGGGTGTCATGTCCTCTCAACGGCCTGCACGCCCCTGTGTTGAGGGACAAGAGGAGTGGGGAATCTTAATTCCAAAAGGGGTTTAAATTTGTCGCCTTTCATAAAGTTCAACAATGAAAGGGGATATGAGTCATCAGAGGCATCACCTTTGAGCAACACTTAGGGCTTATGAGTCTTCGTTGAATACTTGAATCATCAGAGCAAGTCTGTAAGTTCGCTCAGACCCAAAATATACGCAGTTCCTAATGTGATCTCCTTCTCCTTCCTTCTATTTCTTCTCTTTTCCCCTTGCTCTTCCTCCTTCTTCTTTTTCTTCATTCTTCTCCTCCTCCCTCCCTTTTCCTCTTTTTCCTTCTCTTTCTCTTTTTGCTCTCCAGCTCCTCTCTCATTCTTTTTATTCTTCCTCATCTTCTATTTTTCCTTCTCCTTCATCTTCTGCATCTTTTCCTCTTCTATTTCTCCTTCCTCTATCTTTTGTATCTTTTCCTTTTCTATTTCTCCTTTCTCCTTTATCTTCTGCATCTCTTCCTCCTTCCCCGGCTTTTCCTCTCACTTCTCATCCTCCTTCTCCTCTTGCTACGTCTCCTCCTCCTTGTTCTAGTTCCTATTCTTCTTCATTTTTCTCCTCCTTATCCTTCTCCTCCTCCCAAGGAATGTTAACTTTAAGGGGAGTTCAAATTTGTGGCCTTTCATATAGTCAGCAACTAGAAGGGGCTATTAAGTTATCTTCGGTCAACTAGAAGGGACTATCACCTCTGAGCAAATTGATGGGTGTTTATCTTTCGAGCGATTTTTCTTCTCTCCTCCACATGCTTTTCCTCTCCTCCCTTTCCTCATCCTTCTCTTTCTCGTCTCTCCTTGTCGCTTTCTCACCTCCCTCATTTTTTCTGTCGATTTTTCTCTTTCTCCTTCTTCTCCTCCTTTTCTTTTTCCTTCTCCCTCGTTCTTCTTCCTCTTCTATTTCTCCTACCTCCTTCATCTTCTGCATCTCTTCCTCCTCCTCCCCGGCTTTTCCTCTCACTTTTCATCCTCCTTCTCTTGCTACTCCTTCTTGTTCTTGTTCTTCTTCAGTCTCTCCTCCTTATCCTTCTTTTTTTCCTCCTTTTTTCCAGCTGATTTCTCTCTTTCTCCTTCTCTCCCCGTTCTCCTGCTCCTTCTCCGCCTTCATTCTTTTTTTTCTCTTCTTCCTCCTCTTCTATTTCTCCTTTTCCTTCATCTTCTACATTTCTTCCTCCTTCTTCACTTGTTTTTCCTCTTGCTTCTCCTTCTCTTTCTTCTTGTTGGAGTTATAGAAGCCTTGGTTATTAGGGTTTATTAAAAATTTTTCTTTTTTTACCTTTTTATCCTTATTGTGACTTTTATTGGCTATATATATGGGGGCTCTACACTTAGTTTGTATCCCTTTCACTCACATCAAAGCCACCAACCCTAACTCTAAGTCTAACCCTAGCCTCCGCCAAACAAGCAACACGACAAAACCACCCGGCCATCAACAAGCAACACCAAACCAGTCTCCACCGGCAAGCACCCAGTGACAAACCCACTGCCCACAGACATCCTCCACCAACACAGCTTCCACAAACAACCCAACTAGTTCCAACGACAAACCACCAGCGATAAACCAAGAATCAAACTACCCAGAACTCAACCCAGCGACAGCCTAGCCAACATCAGCAGCAACCCACAAACAACACTAAATCAGCCTGCCACCAGATCACCGACAGCCACAAACCACCTAAACTAAACCAAGAATCAAACCACCCAGAACCCAACCCACCGACAGCCTAGCCAACATCAGCAGCAACCCACAAACAACACCAAATCAGCCTGCCACCAGACCACCGACAGCCAAAAACCACCTAAACCAACTACACCATATAAACCACCAACCAACATAAACCACCGACAGCCCAATAAACCAACTCCATCAGCGAGACAGCCCAATAAACCAACGAACCCAGCAAAATCAGTACTCCAAAATTAGTAACCCAACACAACTCAAAAAACCTAGGCTGCTATAACTCCAACACTTCTGCTCATCCTCTTTCACTCTTATCCTCCTCCATTTTCTCCTTATCCTTCTCCTCCTACTCCTAGGGAATGCTAGCTGTAAGGGGAGTTCAAATTTGTGGCCTTTCATAAAGCTCAGCAACTAGAAGGGGCTATTACGTTATCTTCCAATCAGGAGGCATCACCTCTGAGCAAATTGACGAGTCTTGATCTTTCGAGTGACTTCTCTTCTCTCTAACTTTTCCTCTTGCTTTTCTTCCTTCTCCCTCTCCTTCTCCTCTTGCCAATCCTCCTTCCTCAATCTATTCCTCTTCCCTTCTTTTTCCAATCGATTTTCCTCTTGCTCCTTCTTCTCATCCTTTTCCTTCTCCTCCCTCATTCGTCTTCTTCCTCCTCTTCTAGTTCTTCTTCTGCCTCTCTTCCTCCTTTTTCCCCTGCATTTCCTCTTGCTTCTCATCCTCCTCCTCTTTCTCCATCTCCCTCTCTCTCTCATTCCTTATGTTTCTTCTCCTTCTCCTCTTGTTACTCCTCCTTATTCTTCTTGTTCTTGTTCTTCCTCATTCTTCTCCTTCTCCTCCTCATCCTTCTCTTTCTCCTCTCTCCTTCCTGTTACTTTTTCTCCTCCCTTCTTTTTCTAGCCGATTTGCCTTTTTATTCTTCTCTCCCTGCTCTCCTATTTTTCCTCATTCTTCTTTTTCTTCTTCTGCTTCCTCATTTTCTATTTCTCCTTCTCCTTCAGCTTCTACATCTCTTCCTCCTTCCCTTGCTTTTCTTCTTCTTTCTCCTCCTCCTCCTCCCCCTCCCCCTCTTTCTTTAGTCTTATCCTCCTCCTTTTTCTCCTTATTTTCTTCTCTTCCTAGGGAATGTTAGCTTTAAGGGGAGTTCAAATATATGGCCTTTCATAAAGCTCAACAACTAAAAGGGGCTATTTACGTTACCTCCCAATCAATAGGCATCACCTCCGAGCAAATTGACGGGTCTTGATCTTTCAAGTGACTTCTCTTCTCTCCTCATTCTTCACCTACTTTTCCTCTTTCTCCCTCTTCTTTTCCTCTAGCCACTGTTCCTCCTTCTTCAATCTTCTCCTCCTCATCCTTTTCTTTCTCGTCTCTCTTTCTAGTCGCTTTTCCTCTTTCTCCTTTTTCTCCTCTTTTTCCTTTTCCTCCCTCATTCTTCTTCTTCTTCCTCCTCTTCTATTTCTCCTTCCTCCATCTTCTGCATCTCTTCATCCTTCCCCTTACTTTTCCTCTCTCACTTCTCATCCTCCTTCTCCTTCTCTACTTGCTACTCCTTCTACTTGTTCTTCTTCAGTCTCCTCCTCTTCCTCATCCTTCTTTTTTTCCTCTCTTTCCTGTCGTTTTTCCTCCTTTTTTTCAGCCAATTTCTCTCTTTCTCCTTCTCTCCCCGTTCTCCAGCTCCTTCTCAGCGCTCATTCGTCTTTTTTTCCCTTCTTCCTCCTCTTCTATTTCTCCTTTTCCTTCATCTTCTACATCTTTTCCTCCTTCACTTGTTTTTCCTCTTGCTTCTCCTTCTCTTTCATCTGCTCATCCTCCTTCACTCTTATCCTCCTCCATTTTCTCCTTATCCTTCTCCTCCTCCTAGGGAATGCTAGGTGTAAGGGGAGTTCAAATTTGTGGCATTTCATAAAGCTCAGCAACTAGAAGGGGCTATTACGTTATCTTCCAATCAGAAGGCATCACCTCCAAGCAAATTGACGAGTCTTGATCTTTCGAGTGACTTCTCTTCTTTCCTTTTTCTCCTACTTTTCCTCTTGCTTTTCTTCCTTCTCCCTCTTCTTCTCCTCTTGCCACTCCTCCTTCCTCAATCTACTCCTCTTCCCTTCTTTTTCCTGTCGATTTTCCTGTTTCTCCATCTTGTTCTCATCCTTTTCCTTCTCCTCCCTCATTCTTCTTCTTCCTTATCTTCTAGTTCTTCTTCTGCATCTCTTCCTCCTTTTTCCCATGCATTTCCTCTTGCTTCTCATCCTCTTTCTCCATCTCCTTCTCATTCCTTATGTTTCTTCTCCTTCTCTTGCTACTCCTTATTCTTCTTGTTCTTGTTCTTCCTCATTCTTCTTCTTCTCCTCATCCTTCCCTTTCTCCTCTCTCCTTGTCGCTTTTTCTCCTCCCTTCTTTTTCCAGCCGATTTGCCTTTTTATCCTTCTCTCTGTGCTCTCTTGCTTTTCCCTCATTCTTCTTCTTCTTCCTCCTTTTCTATTTCTCCTTCTCCTTCATCTTCTACATCTCTTCCTCGTTCTTCCCTTAGTTTTCCTCTTCTTTCTCCTCCACCTCCTCATTTCTCTTCTTTTTCTCCTCCTTCTCCCCCTTTTTCTTCAGTCTTATCCTCCTCCTTTTTATCCTTATTTTCTTCGCCTCCTAGGGAATGTTAGCTTTAAGGGGAGTTCAAATTTATGGCATTTCATAAAGCTCAGTAACTAAAAAGGGGCTATTTACGTTACCTCCCAATCAAGAGGCATCACCTCCGAGTATATTGACGGGTCTTGATCTTTCGAGTGACTTCTCTTCTCTCCTCGTTCTTCACCCACTTTTCCTCTTACTTCTCTTTCTCCCTCTTCTTTTCCTCTTGCCACTGTTCCTCCTTCAATCTTCTCGTCCTCATCCTTCTCTTTCTCGTCTCTTTTCTTGTCGCTTTTCCTCTTTCTCCTTTTTCTCTTCTTTTTCCTTTTCCTCCTTCATTCTTCTTCTTCTTCTTCCTCCTCCTCTATTTCTCCTTCCTCCATCTTCTACATCTTTTCATCCTCCCCCTTCTTTTTCTCTCTTACTTCTCATCCTCCTCTTGCTACTCCTACTTCTTGTTCTTGTTCTTTTTCAGTCTCCTCCTCATCCTTCTTTTTTTACTCTCCTTCCTGTCGTGTTTCCTCCTTTTTTCCAGCCGATTTCTCTCTTTCTCCTTCTCTCCCCATTCTGCTGCTCCTTCTCCACCCTCATTCTTCTTTTTTTTTCCCTTCTTCGTCCTCTTTTATTTCTCCTTTTCCTTCATCTTCTACATCTCTTCCTCCTTCTTCATTTGTCTTTCCTCTTGCTTCTCCATCCCTTTCTTCTGCTCATCCTCTTTCACTCTTATCCTCCTCTATTTTCTCTTTATCCTTCTCCTCGTCCTATTCCTAGGGAATGCTAGCTGTAAGGGGAGTTCAAATTTTTGACCTTTCATGAAGCTCAGCAACTAGAAGGGGCTATTACGTTATCTTCCAATCAGGAGGCATCACCTCCGAGCAAATTGATGAGTCTTGATCTTTCGAGTGACTTCTCTTCTCTCATTTTTCTCCTGTTTTTCTTCCTTCTCCCTCTTCTTCTCCTCTTGTCACTCCTCCTTCCTCAATCTACTCCTCTTCCCTCATTTTTCCTGTGGATTTTCCTATTTCTCCTTCTTCTTCTCATCCTTTTCCTTCGCCTCCCTCATTCTTCTTATTCCTCCTCTTCTAGTTCTTCTGCATCTCTCCCTCTTTTTCCCCTGCATTTCCTCTTGCTTCTTATCCTCCTCTTTCTCCATCTCCCTCTCATTCTTGTTTCTTCTCCTTCTCCTCTTGCTACTCCTTATTCTTCTTGTTCTTGTTCTTCCTCATTCTCCTTCTCCTCGTCCTTCTCTTTCTCCTCTCTCCTTCCTGTCGCTTTTTCTTCTCCTTTCTTTTTCCTGCCGATTTGCATTTTTATCCTTTTCTCCGTGCTCTTCTGTTTTTCCCTCATTCTACTTTTTCTTCTTCTTCTTCTTCCTCCTTTTGTATTTCTCCTTCTCCTTCTTCTACATCTCTTCCTCTTCTCTAACTTTTCCTCTTCTTTCTCCTCCTCCTCCCCCTCTTTCTTCAGTCTTATCCTCCTACTTTTTATCCTTATTTTCTTCTCCTCCTAGGAAAAATTAGCCTTAAGGGGAGTTCAAATATATGGCCTTCCATAAAGTTCAACAACTAAAAGGGGCTATTTATATTACCTCCCAATCAAGAGACATCACCTCTGGGCAAATTGACTGGTCTTGATCTTTCGAGTGACTTCTCTTCTCTCCTCCTTTTTCACCAACTTTTCCTATTACTTCTCTTTCTCCTTCTTCTTTTCCTCTTCCTCATCTTTCTCTTTCTCATCTCTTTTTCCCGTCGCTTTTTCTCTTTCTCCTTTTTCTTCTTTTTTTCTTTTACCTCCCTCATTCTTCTTCTTCCTCCTCTTCTATTTCTCCTTCCTCCTTCATGTTCTGCATCTCTCCCTTCTCCTCCCCCTGCTTTTCCTCTCACTTCGTATCCTTTTTCTCATTCTCCTTCTTCTTGTTCTTCTTTAGTCTCCTCCTCATCCTTCTTTTTTTTCTCTCTCATTCCTATCTTTTTTTCCAGTCGATTTCCCTCTTTCTCATTCTCTCCCTGTTCTCCTGCTCCTTCACCACCCTCATTCTTCTTGTTTTTCCCCTTGTTCCTCCTTCTTCACTTATTTTTCCTCTTGCTTCTCCTTCTCTTTCTTTTGCTTATCCTCCTTCACTCTAATCCTCCTCCATTTTCTCCTTTATCCTTCTCCTCGTCCTACTCCTAGGGAATGCTAGCTGTAAGGAGAGTTCAAATTTCTGGCTTTTCATAAAGCTCAGCAACTAGAAGGGGCTATTACGTTATCTTCCAATCAGGAGGCATCACCTCCGAGCAAATTGACGAGTCTTGATCTTTCAAGTGACTTCTGTTCTCTCCTTTTTCTCCTGCTTTTCCTCTTACTTTTCTTCCGTCTCCCTCACCTCCTCTTGCCACTCCTCCTTCCTCAATCTACTCATCTTCCTTCCTTTTTTCCATCGATTTTCCCGTTTCTCCTTCTTCTCATCCTTTTCCTTTTCCTTCTCTTCCCTCATTCTTCTTCTTCCTCCTCTTCTAGTTCTTCTTCTGCATCTCTTACTCCTTGTTCCCTTCCATTTCCTCTTGCTTCTCATCCTCCTCCTCTTTCTCCTTCTCCCTCTCATTCCTTATGTGTTTCTTCTCCTTTTCCTCTTGCTACTCCTTATTCTTCTTGTTCTTGTTCTTCCTCATTCTTCTCCTTCTCCTCCTCCTCCTCCTCCTCCTCCTCATCCTTCACTTTCTCCTCTTTCCTTTTTGTCACTTTTTCTCCTCCCTTCTTTTTCCAGCCGATTTGTCTTTTTATCCTTCTCTCAGTGCTCTCCTACTTTTCCCTCATTCTTCTTCTTCTTCCTCCTTTTCTATTTCTCTTTCTCCTTCATCTTCTACATCTTTTCCTCCTTCTCTTACTTTTCCTCTTCTTTCTCCTCCTCCTCCCCCTCTTTCTTTAGTCTTATCCTCCTCCTTTTTCTCCTTATTTTCTTCGCCTCCTAGGGAATGTTAGCTTTAAGGGCAGTTCAAATTTATGACCTTTCATAAAGCTCAGCAATTAGAAGGGGCTATTATGTTACCTTCCAGTCAAGAGGCATCACTTCCGAGCAAATTGACGAGTCTTGATCGTTTGAGTGATTTCTCTTCTCTCCTTCTCCTTCTCCATCTCCTTCTTCACCTACTTTTCCTCTTGCTCCTCCTCATCCTCATCCTTCTCTTTCTCATCTCTCCTTCCTATCACTTTCCCGTCTCCCTCCTTTTTCCTGTCCATTTTTCTCTTTCTCCATCTTATCATCCTTTTCCTTCTCCTCCCTCATTCTTCTTCTTCTTCATCCTCCTCTTCTAGTTTTTCTTTTGCATCTCTTCCTCCTTCCCATGCTTTTCCCTCTTATTTTTCATCCTCCTCTTTCTCCTTCTCCCTCTCCTTCCTTTTGTTTCTTCTTCTTCTCCTCTTCCTATTTCTCCTTATTCTTTCTCATTATTCTCCTTTTCCTCCTCCTCTTCATCCTCATCCTCACCTTTTTTTCTCATTTCTCCTTCCAGTTGTTTTTCCTCCCTTCTTTTTCCAGCCGATTTTCCTTTTTCTCCTTCTCTCCGCGTTCTCTGTGCTTTCTTGCTCTTACTCCCCCCACATTCTTTTTTTTCTTCTTCCTCCTCTTCTATTTTCTCTTTCTCCTTCATCTTCTACATCTCTTCCTCTTTCTTCCCTTACTTTTTCTCTTCCTTCTCCTTCTCCTTCTCCTTCTCCTTTTCCTCCTCCCCATCTTTCTTCACTCTTATCCTCCTTTTTTTCCTTATTTTCTTCGTTTCCTAGGGAATGTTAGCTTTAAGGGAAATTCAAATTCATGGCCTTTCATAAAACTCAGCAACTAAAAGGGGATATTACATTACCTTCTAGTCAAGAGGCATCACCTTCGCGCAAATTGATGGGTCTTGATCTTTCGAGTGACTTCTCTTCTCTCCTCCTTCACCTACTTTTCCTCTTGCTTCTCCTTCTCTTTCTCCTCTTGCCACTCTTCCTCCTGCTTCTTCAATCTTCTCCTCCTTTTCCTCTTTCTTGTCTCTCTTACCCATCGTTTTCCCGCCTCCCTCCTTTTGCCTGTCAATTTTCCTCTTTCTCCTTTTTTTTCCTTCTCCCTCATTCTTCTTCTTCATCCTCATGTTCTAGTTCTTCTTTTGCATCTCTTCCTCCTTCTTCCCCTGCTTTTCCTCTTGCTTCTCATCCTCATCCTCCTCTTTCTCCTTCTTCCTCTCCTTTTTCTTCTCCTTCTTCTCTTGCTACTCCTCCTTGTTCTTGTTGTTCTTGTTCTTCTTCATTCTTCTCCTCTCTCCTTGTCGCTTTTCCTCCGTCTTTTTCCAGCTGATTTTCCTTTTTCTCTTTCTCTCTGCGCTCTCGTACTCCTACTCCTCCCTCCTCCCTCATTCTTCTTCTTCCTCCTTTTTTATTTCTCCTTCTCCTTCATCTTCTACATCTTTTCATCTTTCTTCCCTTACTTTTCCTCTTCCTTCTCCTCATTTCTCTTCTTTTTCTCCTCCTCCTCCCCTTCTTTCTTCGCTCTTATCCTCCCTTTTCTCCTTATTTTCTTCGCCTCCTAGGGAATGTTAGCTTTAAGGGGAGTTCAAATTTATGGCCTTTTATAAAGCTCAGCAACTAAAAGGGGGCTATTTACATAACCTTCCAATCAAGAGGCATCACCTCTGAGCAAATTGATGGGTCTTGATCTTCGAGTGACTTCTCTTCTCTCCTTCTCCTTCACCTACTTTTCCTCTTACTTCTCTTTCTCCCTCTTCTTTTCCTCTTGCCACTGTTCCTCCTTCAATCTTCTCCTCATCTTTCTCTTTCTCGTCTCTCTTTCCTATCGCTTTTCCTCTTTCTCCTTTTTCTCCTCTTTTTCCATTTTCTCCCTCATTCTTCTATTTCTCCTTCTAATTCATCTTCTGCATCTCTTCCACCTTCTTGCCCTATTTTTCCTTTTGCTTCTCCTTCTCCTTGTCCATCCTTTTGTGTTTTCTCATTCTCCTTTTTTTTCCTTTTCCTTCTCTTTCTTCTCTCTCCTCACTCTTCTCCTCCTCTTTTTTCTCCTTCTTCTCATTGTCTTTATTCTTCTTCTCCTCCTAGGGAATCTTAGCTTCAAGGGGAGTTCAATTTGTGGCCTTTCATAAAGTTCAGCAACTAGGAGATATTACGTTATATTCCCGTCTTGGAGCACTTTGGACCTGGGGCGGAGCCAAAAATTTTGCTTAGTTGGAGCAACCTAAACCGTATGAATATTAAAATTACTAATGTTCACAAAAGTATAATTTCATTAATAGAACGTCAATTAAAGTAACAACTCATATATATGAGCACTAAACAAAAAGTGTCAACAAAAAAAATTCACTATAAATTTATCTATAAGACCTAATCACCTACCAAAAAAATTTAAACCTAAAAATTTGGTTCAATCATATATAGTTGAATTTTAACAATCAATCGAAACAAACGTAAACTATAACTGTTCTATTAGACTAAACTTTGGTATAAGAATTATTTAACCAATCACAATAAAACTATTCAAAACACCAAAGCAATATAATTTAATCTAACCCATAATGGAGGCATTTAGCCTTTTAAAGGAATTTTTTTGACATTTATAAGTGACCCGTATATTTGTCAAAATATCATAACTGCATATAAATCTTTTAAACAAAATTCAGTGGGGGCAAATTTCTAATAAATTTTAAAACTTTTAAAATTATACTTATGCCCTAAAAATTTTAAAATTCCAATGGGGGCAACTGCCCCCCCCCATTATGGATCTGCCACTGCTTTGGACTTACGAGTCTCCGTTGAATTGTCAAAGCAAGCCTGTAAGTTCGTCTCAAACCCAAGAAATACATAGTTTCTAATTTAATCTATCATTGCACCAGTTTCCCTTTCTCCTTCTCTCTATGGGTATCTATGTGTGTATATGTTTGTATACACCTTGTAAATTTATGGATTATGGAATCATTGCTCTTTTTCTATGTGATTTTATTTTATTTCCGTTTCTCGCAAGTCATCGATGTTCCTTAGAGACGCCAAAAATTTTGATCTTTTGAGCGACTTCTCTTCTCTCCTTCACCAGCCTCATACTCCTCGCTCCCCCTCTTTCTCCTTCTCCTTTTCCTTCTGTTTCTTCTCCTTTTCCTCTTTCTTCATCATTCTTCTCCTCCTCTCTCCTTCGTATCATTTTTCCTCCTCCCTCCTTTTTCCTGCTGATTTTCCTATTTCTTCTTCTTCTCTAGTTTCTCCTTTCCTTTTCGTTCTCCTGCTCCTCCTCCCTCATTCTTCTTCTTTTTCACTCTTATCCTCCTCCTTTTTCTCCTTCTCCTTCTCATTGTACTCCTTATTCTTCTCCTCCTCCTAGGGAATCTTAGCTTCAAAGGGAGTTCAAATTTGTAGCCTTTCATAAAGCTCAACAACTGAAAAAGGATATTACATTATCTTCCAGTAGAGACATCAACTCCGAGCAAATTGACGGGTCTTAAGGGTATTTAGGGTTTATGAGTCTTCGTTCATCACAAACCCAAGAAATACTTAGTTCCGAATGTGATCTCCCATTGCACAATTTTGCCTTTCTCCCTCTCTAAATCTCTCTCTATAAGTATATATATATCTATACACACCGTAAATTTATGGTTTTATGGAGTCATTGTTTTTTTATGTGATTCTATTTTAGTTTCCATTCCTCTCAAGTCACCAATGTTCTTTACAGTCGCCATAAAGTTTGATCTTTCGAGTGACTTCTCCTTCACCTTTTTTTCCTCTTGCTTCTCCTCCTCCTCTTTCTCCTTTGCCCTCTACTTCCTTCTCCTCTTGTTCCTCCTCCTCCTTCTTCACCATACTTCTCCTCCTCCTCATCCTTCCCTTTCTCCTCTCCTTTCTGTCACTTTTTCTCCCTTTTTTCTGCCAATTTTTCTCTTGCAGAATTTAATATCAATAGGAAATACTACAAATTTAAGACATCAAAAGGACATTCTTACAAAGAAATTTAAATACATGAGCATATTGTATATTACCACAAACGTCAAAATCATCAATGTCTTCAATGGATGTGAAATTCGAAGTATCACAAACAATATACTTAAATTTGGTAGCGATATGAAATAAAATCACCACCCAATTTTTGACTCTAAATCTCAAAAAAATTTCTTTCTATATATTTTTTTCTTCTTCCTCTCTTTCTCTTCCTTCCTCCATCATTTTTTTCTCCTTTCTTGTCTGCATTTTGCTTGACGGCACCATGGCTATTTATAGCCAAACTTCCACCCAACCTCACATGGTGAGGCTATGAAGCTTGCATCGTTATGGACAAATAGGAATCAAACTGGCTACCTTTCAACAACAAATCCTTTCACATAATCAATATCCCTTAATAGTAAACATTTATTCACACGTATTAAAAATAAAACTACCTTCTCACATCTACATTACTTAAAAAAGCAATTTTCCAAATTCTAAATACATTATTGAAACTTAGGACTATTATAAAATTATGAAAAATTAGCCCAAAAAATCAATACATACTCTGATAGATATATGTACATAACCAGAATACTTCCAACCTTAATATGCGTACTTCCCTTTGTTTTTCGTTCTCACTTCAATTTACTATCTATACATAACACAAATCAGAGAATAGACCTTAAGAAAACTATGTCGATAAGAATCATTGGCAAAGGTCAACAAAGATAAGAAAATCGGTGCAAGGCAATAAATCTATGGCCATGTGAAAAAGTTAAACTATTAAAACCAACCCAAAGAAATTGACAATCAGAAAAAAAAATGAGCATTAGCAAGAGTAAATATCCATCATGGCACACCAAGACTCACTATCATGTCACATGTTTCATATATTGGATTCACAAACAAAATATTAACATTGATAATAAGTGTCATATATTCATCCAGTTCATATGTTAAATCAAGTTATGTGTTATGTCAGTTAAGTGCATGGATAAAATAATCTAAATTGAATACACTTATGTCAGTTAAATGTAATTTATTGTCTTACTTTGTGTTTTGGTATGTGTGTGTGTGTTTTGGTTTATTAGTATTTGTCTTTTGATATATTTGTGTGTTTATTGCGTTTTAGTGTGCACGTGTGTATTTTTGTTGTGTATTAGTGTGTGTGTGTATTTTTGTTGTATTAGTATCCGTCTAAAGGTGTTTTTGTTATAAGAGTGTGCTATGTTTTTTTTTGTTTGGTTTATTAGTGTGTTTTTTTGGTGTATTAGTATTTGTGTATTGGGGTATGCGTATATTTCCTCGTATATTAGTGTGTGAATGTGCACATGTGTGTCTTTTCATGTATTAGTAGTTATTTTGGTGTATTAGTGTTTGTTAATACCGTGGGTGTATTTTTTGGTATACTAGTGGGTATACTTGTATAGTGTATTAGCATGTAAGTGGTTTTTGGTTTCTCAATATATATGTCTGTTTTTTGTTTCTTAGAGTGTGTGCCGGTGTTTTGTGTATTATGGTGTGTGTTTTTTGATAAATTAGTACGTGTGTTTTGGTATATAGGGATGTGTATGTGATTTTTGGTCTATTAGTGTGTGTATGTGCGCGTGATTTTATGTATTAGTTTGTGTGCGTGTCATTTTTGATGTATTAGTATGGTTGTGTGTGCGTTTAAGTGTGTACATGTGATTTTTGATATTAATTTGGGTGAATGAATGTGTGTGTGTGTGCGTGCGGTTTTTGGTGTATATTAGTTGATATATTAGTGTGTGGGTTTGTCGTATTACTGTCTGTCTAAAGGTGTTTTTGGTTATAAGAGTATGTTGTGTTTGTTTTTTGTTTGGTTTATTAGTGTATGTTTGTTTTTGGTGTATTAGTATTTGTGTTTTGGTGTATTGGGGTATGTGTGTATTAGTGTGTGTATGTGCACATGTGTGTGTTTTCGTGTATTAGTGATTATTCTGGTGTATTAGTGTTTGTTAATATTGTGTGTGTATTTTTTGGTATACTAGTGGGTATACTTGGATAGTGTATTAGCGCGTGTAGTTTTTGGTTTCTTAGAGTGTGCGTGCCCGTGTTTTATGTATTTTGTTGGGTGTATTTTTTTTGATAAATTAGTATGTATATTTTGGTATATGAGGATATGTATGTGATTTTTGGTTTATTAGTGTGTGCGTATGTGCACGTGTTTTTATGTAGTAACAGGTGCGTGTTTTTTGGTGGATTAGTGTGTTAACATGATGTGTGTGTGGTGTATTAGTATATGTGTGTATTTTTGGTGTATAAGTGTGTTTGTGTGTGCATATCATTTTTGATGTATTAATAGGGCTGTGTGTGTTTTAGTGTGTACGTGTGATTTTTGATATATTTGTGTGTATTATTGTGGGTGAATGTGTGTGCGTGTGGTTTTTGGTGTATGTTAGTTCATATATTAATGTGTTTATTGTGTATTAATGTGCGCATGTGTATTAGTATGTGTGTGTGTTTTTGTCGTATTAGTGTTTGTCTAAAGGTGTTTTGGTTGTAAGAGTGTGTTGTGTTTGTTCTTTGTTTGGTTTATTAGTGTGTGTGTTTTTTTTTGGTGTATTAGTATTTGTGTTTTGGTGTATTGGGGTATGCGTATATTTCCTTGTGTATTAGTGTATGTATGTGCACGTGTGTGTTTTCGTGTATTAGTGATTATTTTGGTGTATTAGTGTTTCTTAACACTGTGTGTGTATTTTATGGTATACTAATGGGTATACTTGTATGGTGTTTTAGCACATGTGTTGTTTTTGGTTACTTAATGTATATATGTGTGTTTTTTGTTTCTTTGAGTGTGCGTGCCAAAGAAATTTGAGTGTTTTTGGGTGTGCCTTGATTGTGTGTTTTTGTTTACTTAATGTATATATGTGTGTATTTTTTATGTATATACTTAATGTATACATGTGCGTTTCTTTGAGTGTTTTTGTTTTTGTTTCTATGGAAAGAGGTGTGCTCACGATCCTTGTTCCTGGATGATATATTAAGATATTATGATTTTTTAAGAGAATTTGACATATATGTTGAATCCTTAGTTTTCCATTCTATCAGCAAAATTATATGAAGATTGGTGTAAATCTGGTATTATTTCGATCTCTAATCTCTGATAATTTGTGTTTTTTCTATTTTCCGAATTTAACCACTTCTAATGTTATTAATTTTCATTGGAATGGTCTAAAATTTTAGTTCATAATCTTTTATTTGATGTCCTATCAAGGTACCTAAAAGTAGTGACAAATAAGGGTAGCATCAAACTCAATCTTCTTACTCTTCTTTTGTATCATTTAATGGTATCCATTTCTTGTTGTTGTTACCTTGCATATTTACTCCTCTTCTTGAAGCAAATCTGTATTGTTTCCCACAAGGAGTGATTAGTTTTAGGAGCATTCTGCATTTGGTTTTAGAATGATTATCTTTTTCAAGTATTGCTGCATTTCTTCGTTCATCTATCTATTTTTCCTCCTAACTTAGGGGTGTCTATGGGCCAGGTTTCCCATGGGTCTTGTTACCCGGCCCAAAAAAATAGGTTTGACACTCGATAGGCCTGATAGTTGGTCCGCCCGAGACCGAACCCAATATTCTTAAAAAGAGGGCTTGGGTTTGCCCCCAAACTCATTACCTGGCCCAATAGCCCGATAGAAAAAAATCGTTAAAACTCGGCCCAAGAGCCCGCCCGCCTACCTTTCCTTTGAAAAAAATTATACTTTTAAACCATTAAATTTGAAACTTTGAAATAAGTTTCCCAATATCGGAATTTGAAATTTTAAAAATTTAGATAATATAAATAATGTATTATTTTCTTTTTCATATATTAAGCATATAAGTTTTAAAGGGTTGAATAATGCAAATGATAGATAAGTGAGTAGGTGTTAACCTAGTTGGGATGTATTCATTCTATTGGATGTAGTTCATCTTTTAATCAAAAATAAAATTATTCATTATTTTATTTTTATCCATTTCGACTCTACTTTTGATTCAAAAATATAATTTATACAAATATTAAGTTACAAAAATATTCATTATTTTTAAATGAAGTTGTATATAAAAAAGTCCGCAAGCAGGCCCGCTCAGCAAGCCCACTCAGAAGGCCTGCTTAATAGGCTCACAGGTTGGGCTGCGGGTAGCCTACCCTTACTCAAAGCCTAGTCCAGCCGTCCGATAACTCACTTGGGTAAGAGCTTGGGCTTACACTACTCTGGCTCGGCCCGAAAAAAATTTCACATACCTAATTCGGCCCAGTCCATGGACACACCTATCTCTCTCCCTCCTCCAACTCCTCCCTTCTACGTAAATTTTGAACAACATTTAGACATAGAGGATATAACTTCTTCTTCCTTCTCCTCGTCCTCCTCCTCCTCGTCCTCAGCATCCTCCTTATTCCCCTTCTCCTCCTTCTCTCTTTCCTCTCTTTCTTCCTCATCATCCTCCTGATTCCCCTGCTCATCCCTTCTTCCTCCCAATTTTCCTCCTCTTTCTCCTCTCCTGCTCCTCCTTCTTCCTCCTCCAACTCCATCAATTTCCTCCTTCCTCCCAATTTTCCTCTTCTTTCCCCTCTCCTACTCCTTCTCCTTCTCCTTCTCCTCTCTCCTTTTTCCTTATCCTCCTCCTGTTTCTTCTCATTTTTGTCGTCGTCGTCCTTCTTATTCTTTCTTCTTATTTCTCCTTCTCCTTCTCATTCTCTTCCTTTCTTCTTTTTGCTTTTTCTCGTCCTTATTTCTCTTTTCTTCTTTTTGCTTTTTGTCGTCGTCGTCTTTTTGTTTTTCCTCCCTCATCCTCCTGCTCCTCCGCCAACGTCATCTTCTTCGTCCTCTCTTCTACGTAAATTTCGAGCAATATTTAGACATAGAGGAGACAGTTTCTTCTTCTTCCTTCTTCTCCTCTTTCTTCTCCTCCCTTTTTTCCTCCTCCTTTTCCTTCTCCTTCTAATTGTCCTCATTCTCCTCTCTCCTTCTTCCTCTTGCTCTTCCTTTTCCTTCTCCTCCAACTCCTCCTTTCTTTTATGTAAATTCAAGCAGCATTTAGGCTTAGAGAAGACAACTTCTTCTTCTTCCTTCTCCCCTTCGTCCTTCTTCACCTTCTGCTCCCCTTTTTCCTCCTCATTGTCCTCTTTATTCTCCTTTTCTTTCTCTTCCCTCCTTCTTCCTCTTGTTTTTCCTCCCTCATTCCTCCTATTTCCCCTCTCCTACTCCTGCTTCCTCCTCCTCTAATTCCGTTAATTACCTCATTCCTCTCGATTTTCCTCCTCTTTTCCCTCTCCTGCTCTTTCTCCTTGTCCTCCCATTTATTCTTCTCATTTTCATCCTCCTCCTCCTCCTTATTCCTTCTCCTCTTTCTCGTTTTCCTCCTCTTTCTCTTTTTTGTCCTTTCTTCCTTTTGTTTTTCCTCCTCTTTTGCTTGTCCTCCCTCCTCCTCCTTCTATTTCTCCTTCTAATTTTCCTACTCCTTCTCTTTCCCTTCTCCTCCTTCCTCATTCTGCTTCTTCCTCCTCCTCCAACTCCATCACTTTCCTCTTTTTTCTTCCCGATTTTCCTCTGTCTCTTTCCCCTTTCCTACTCCTTTTTCTTTTTCTTCTTCTTTCTCTTCCAGCTGCTCCTCTTCCTTCTCCTTCTGCTCCTCCTCTTTCACCTCCCACCTTCTTCTTCCTCCTCCTTCTCCTCCCTCATGTTCCCCTCTCCTGCTCCTTCTCCTCCCTCCTCATCCTTCTTCTTCTTTCTCTTCCTACTCCTCCAACTTCTTATTCCTTCTCCAACTCTTCATTTCTTCGACGTCAATTTCGAGCAGCATTTAGGCACAGAGGAGACAACTTTTCCTTCTCCTCCCTTTTTTCCTCCTCTTCCTTCTCTTTCCCCTTTCTTGCTCCTCCTCTTTCCTTCTCCTCTTTCTCGTTTTCTTCCTCCTTCTCTTTCTCCTCCTTTCTTCCTTTTATTTTTCCTCTTCCTCCTTCCTTTTGCTTTTCCTCCCTCCTCCTCCTCCAACTCCTCCCTTCTTCTACGTAAATTTTGATCAGCATTTAGGCATGGAGGAGACAACTTCTTCTTCATTCTCCTCCTACTTCATCTCCTTCTCATTGCCTTTCTTCTTTTCGTTCTCATTGTTCCCCTTATTCTTCAACTCCTCTTCCTCCTATTTCTCCTTATTTTCCTACTCCTTTTTCCCTTCTCGTTCCTCTTCTTCTTCCTCCTCCTCCAACTCCATCAATTTCCTCTTTTTTCTTCCCAATTTTCCTCCTCTTTCCACTTTCCTACTCCTTCTTCTTCTTCCTTCTCTCCCCCCTCCTCCTCTTGTTTTTCTTCCTTCCTCCTCCTTTTCCTCCCTCCTTCCTACTTCTCCTTCTTCTTTTCCCCTCTCCTCCTCCTTCTTCTCTTCCTCTTCCTCCAACTCCTTTCTTCGACATCAATTTCGAACAACATTTAGGCACGGAAGAGACAACTCCTTCTCATTTTTCTTCTCCTCTCTTTTTTCCTCTTCTTCCTTCTCTTTCTCCTCCTTCAATTTTCCTCCTCTTTCCCCTCTCTTGCTCCTCCTCCTCCTTCCTCCCGATTTTCCTCATCTTTACCCTCTACTGCTCCTCTTATCTCCTCTTTTTTCCTACTCTTTCTATTTCTTCTTCTCATTTTGTTCATCCTCCTTCCTTCTCCTCTTATCGTTTCCTCCTTCTCCTCCTTTCTTCCTTTTGTTTTTTCTCTTCCTCCTTGTTTTCCTTCTTTCTTTCGCATTTCCTCCGTCCTCTTCCTCTCCCTCCCTCCTCCTCCAACTCCTCCCTTCTTCTACGTAAATTTTGATCAGCATTTAGACATAGAGGAGACAACTTCTTCTTCTTCATTCTACTCCCTCTCTTTCTCCTCCCTCCTTCCTCTTGTGTTTCCTCCTCCACCTCCTTCTCATTTTCCTTCTTGCTTTTGTTTTTCCTCCCAACTTAGGGTGTCTATGGGCTGGGTTACCCACGGGTCCCGTTACCCGGCCCAAAAAAAATAGGCCTGAAACTCGATAGGTCCGATAGTTGGCTCGCCCAAGTCCGAACTCAATATCCTTAAAAAGAGGGCTAGAGTTTGCCCCCAAACCCATTACCTGGCCCAATAGCCCGCCCGAATAAACCCGTTAAAACTAGGCCCAAGAGCCCACCTGCCTACTTTTTGTTTGAAAAAAATTATACTTTTAAACCATTAAATTTGAAACTTTGAATAAGGCTCCCAATGTTGGAATTTAAAATTTTAAAAATTTATATATTATAAATAATGTATTATTTTCTTTTACATGTATTAAGCATAAAAGTTCTAAATGGTAGAATAATGAAAATGATAGATAAGTGAGTAGATGCCAACCTGGTTGGATGTATTCATTCTATTGGATGTAGTTCATCTTTTAATCAAAAATAAAATTATTCATTATTTTATTTTTATCCATTTCGACTCTATTTTTTATTCAAATATATAATTTACACAAATATTAAGTTACAAAAATATTCATTATTTTTAAATGAAGTTGTATATAAAAAAGTTCACGAGCAGGCCCGCTTAATAGGCTCGTGGGTTAGGTTACCGGTAGCCTACCCTTACTCGAAGCCCAACCCGGCCCATGGACGCACCTATCTCTCCCCCTCCTCCAACTCTTCCCTTCAACGTAAATTTTGAGCAGCATTTAGGCATAGAGGAGACAACTTCTTCCTTCTTCTCCTCGTCCTTCTCCTCATTTTTTTCCTCCTTCTCCTTCGCATTATCCTCCTTACTCCCCTTCTCCTCCTCTTTCTCCTCTCTCTTTTTTCCTCTTATTTATCCTCCTTCTCTTTCTCCCTCATTCTTTCTCCTTTCTTGTTTCTTCACCCTTCTCCAACTCCATCAATTTTCCTCTTCTTTCCCTGCTCCTACTCCTACTCCTCCTCCTTCTCCTCTCTCCTTTTTCCTTCTCCTCCTCCAGTTTCTTCTCATTTTTGTCGTCGTCGTCCTTCTTATTCTTTCTTCTTCTTATATCACCTTCTCCCCTTTCCTTCTTTTTGCTTTTCCTCCTCCTTGTTTTCCTTCTTCCTTTTGTTTTTCCTCTCTCATCCTCCTCGTCTTCCTCTTCCTCCTCCTCCTCCAACATCGTCTTCTTCCTCCTCCCTTCTTCTACGTAAATTTTCAGTAGCATTTAGACATAGAGGAGACAGTTTCTTCTTCTTCATTCTCCTCCTCCTCCAACTCCTCCCTTCTTTTATGTAAATTTCGAGCAGCATTTAGGCTTAGAGAAGACAACTTCTTCCTTCTCCTCCTCGTCCTTCTTCACCTTCTTTTCCCTTTTTTCCTCCTCATTGTCCTCGTTATTCTTCCTCTTGTTTTTCCTCCCTCCTTCTTCCTCTTGTTTTTCCTCCCTCATTCCTCCCAATTTTCCTCCTCCTATTTCCCCTCTCCCGCACCTTCTTCCTCCTCCAACTCTGTTAATTTCCTCCTTCCTCTCGATTTTCCTCCTCTTTTCCCTCTCCTGCTCCTACTCTTTCTCCTCCTTCTCCTCCTCCTATTTATTCTTCTCATTTTCGTCCTTCTCTTTCTCCTTCTCCTTCTCCTTCACTTTTTCTCCTTCTTTCTTCCTTTTGCTTTTCCTCCTCCTCCTCCTCGTTTTCCTTCCTCTTTTGCTTGTACTCTCTCCTCCTCCAATGTCATCTTCTTCCTCCTCTCTCCACCTCCAACTCCTCCCTACTTCTACTTAAATTTCGAGCAGCATTTAGGCATAGAAGGGACAACTTTTTCTTCTTCCTCCTACTCCCCCTCATCCTCCTTTTTTTCCGCCTCCTTCTCTTTCTCCTCCCTCCTTCTTCCTCTTTTTCCTTCTTCCTCTGCGAACTCTTCTTCTTCTCCTCCTCTTCCTCCAACTCCTCCCTTTTTCTACGTCAATTTCAAGCAGCATTTAGGTATAGAGGAGACAACATTTGAATGGTGGTAACTGAAAAAGACACAATTTTTTGCTCGAGAGAAATCGCAAGACTTTCTACAAATTCTACTACAATGCCGATATTTGTAGATGTAGACATAACTCCTGTATGACCTCGAGAGCTTTGTCCACAGATGCAACAATAGAAACTAATGGAGCAGAAGTGGACGAAGCAGAGGTCTCTTGTGGTGTATGAACCTAGAATTGTTGCGGGTGAGCTCGTGGATGGTGATGCTTGCCAAGTATGGTAATCAAATAATTACTTACATCTATCTTCAGTCCATATGGTTATTTTGATGAAAATAATAGGTTTAGGTATATATTTATCTGAAAATATTGAATTTTAAGAATTTAATGAATTTCTTCCAATCTAGGTTGGTAAATTCCTTGTTATTGGAAATTTATCTTCCTGGCTTGTATTTGATAAATCATTATCATGCTTCTTAGATGGCTGGTATTAAATAGTGTGTGTACTGTGCACGAGTTGGAATTGGTACATTAAGTAAATTTGCTACTTATTGAGGTATCATTTATGGAGGGACATAAACTTCGGTTAAGGCCTGTAAAGCAACTTCAAGATTTGGAAAGCAAGAATAGCAATTGTAATACATCAAACAAATGATGCTTATTGTAGATAGGACTTATTGTGTCATTATAGTTTTGTTTTCCTGTAAAGGATATGCTGATTGTCAGGTGCCTACCTTGAGAGACCTACAGGGACTCTATGATCAGCTGGTTGAGTCAGCTGATGCCTGCCGATTGGATTGGCATGCTACTTCCAAGAAAGCCGAGAGGTAATTCTTTTTCCTGACCACTATTTTCTGTCATCCTTTGATCGCTCTTTAACTCATTTTCAGGAGTAGGTGGTTGAGGTCCCGTTTCATGCTGCAATCTTCATACTCACCCATGTGAAAGGACTTTATCTTTATGGAGGAGGGGGCATAGGAAAAACTATGTTTATGGACTTGTTCTTCGATCAATTGTAGATATTAGAATTAATTAATTCAATGGGTTTGCCCTCCACCTGGTGTGTTTAAGTTGAACACAGATGGGGCTTCAAAGAAGAATCCAGGTATTGCAGGAGGAGGTGTGGTGTTGAGAAATGAATGGGGGAAGGTAGTTTTAGCTGCCTCTTACTTTTATGGTGAGTATCCAAATACAGTTGCAGAGTTCAATGCTTTGTTAAATGGGCTGGAATTGGTTAAACAATATGGGCTTTTTGCTTATAAAATTCTGGTGGAATCTGATTCTTTAATGCTGGTTAATGCTGTGAGTGGTAGGCGTGGATGTCCATGGGTGTTGTGTCTGTTTTGAGACAGATTAAGGTGCTTTTGTCTATGGTGGAGAGTATGAATTGAGGCATGCCTACAGAGAAGCTAACATGGAAGCTGATCGATTGGCTAATCAGGCAGTCTGTGCTAGAAGTTCTGTTGACTTTTCTGAGTCCTTGAATTTGCCTTCTGCTGTAAGCATGGCTGTGCTGCAGGATGTTAGGCAGATTCCTATTCTGAGACAGAAGAGGGTTCTGGTTATTGATGACAAAGGGTGATGCTGTTTGTTGCTAAGGGCTAAGGTCGCTGGCTGCTGTGCTGGTTACCAGACTGCTTTTATGAGGGACTTTGCTTTTTTTGCCAAGCCTTTTGGCTTTTCTTTATGTTGAGGTTTTTGTTTTGTTAAAGCAGGGCTTGTCTGCTTTTCCCTCATTGTAAAGCTTGGTCTGTGTGGCTGTTTTGATTAGGCAGGGTCTGTCTGCCTTTTCCTTTTTGAGAAATGGAATAAAATGTTGGTTTGTTTAAAAAAAAAAAAAGAATTAATTAACTCAATATTGGCGCGAATATTGGGAAATCTATCTATGTCAAAATGTGGGAAACTTGCTGATGTATATAAAGCAGTCACCATTCACTATGTATTATCTCTGGTTTTCATTTCCCCAGGTCCTGCAACTGGAGGAAAAAGAGGATCCGTTTTCTTGACTTCATGTTGAATGTTCACATCCGCTCGCAAACAAGTACGACCATTTTTTTATTTTTTGTACCTGCATTGCAGTGTAAGTAAGCTTGTGACAAAATTTTTGTGATTGGAAGGGTACTATTTCTGTTATTCGCAGTCCTTGAAAAAATTGCAGTATGTTGAAATCATATAGGCGTTTAAGTCTAGTTCCCTTTTGGACCATTATTATGCCGAGTTATGTAGCACTAGGTGATATATGCTAATCCTGAAGTAGAAATTTAACTTAAATGGTTAAATATTATGTTATTGCAAAAGCACAAGGGTGTGGCAGATCCCCTTGAAGTTATTGCAGGAGAGATATATCATGAATCAATTTCGTTATGTTTTGATGAATTCGTTTCGTGGTATTTTAGACTAGCACCCTAGTTTTATTGCTTTTGTATATGGATTCCATCTGGTTTTTGCTTTAGTGTGGTTTTTCATGTCCCAGTGTGGGGTTTTCCATAGGTTGACTGATGTTGAAAACAAATGGACGTCTTCACCACATCCATCACTCCAAATTGTCCCATTGTCACCAAAAACTCTAGAAACTACCAATAACAGTTAGAAACAACATTCATGACGAATTTGAAATATGAAAATATCTCCGACAATGATTTCAAAATTACGGAGAGTGAGTCTCAATTTCACTACTCATATTTTATTGTACATGTCAATGAAATACTCCAATTTCGTTGTCCAACCAAGACTACAAAAATAATTTAATTTAACCTTATACTTTTTATTGCCTTTATTTTTTTAGTTTTACGTATTTTTGATGTAAATATTGAAAAGATGAGTTATCTCAACATACAATATTTTTATGTCTAGTGATATTTTTGTAACGTTCCATCTTCTAGAAAATTTCAAACAACCTTATGATGAGTTTTTTAATTTTAAGATCACTTAAAAAAATATTTTAGAGGGTCCTAAAAAGGGTTTCTTATTTAAACCTTCTTCGAAAAATATTTTAGAATATACAATGGATATAAAGAAAAGTATAAGAGAGACTACATATTAAAAGATTAGATATTTATGCAAAAATTCTAAAGACACCATAAATATATAACATTTGGGAATATTACCTGTTATGACTTTGCTACTTTTGTTTTTGGCTACAAAATGATTCATTGAATTGGATCAATCTGACCCATGCAAATCGATAATTACTCCAAAAAGAGACTAAAAGCTCTTATCTCTGTGAACAAATTGTTTTATTATAGTATGACTAAGAAGATACTTCTTTTTGGTTTATTTTATTTAATACACTAATTAAACTATTAAGCAATATTGGTAGTTTCAGTTTTTTTTTTTTTTGACCACATGAAAGCGGTTATTTCAGTAAATGATGCACTATAATATAATAATCGAAATGTTCTTTATAAGCTTGGGCTTGGCACACTAAGTTCATTGGGCTATTTTTCTTTTTTCTTAAGGCCGTGGTTGGTTATGGGCTGGGCTAGGCCATCGAACACTAAATATCAAAATCCTTTAGAATGTTCAACCGCTCATGCAATCAAAATCCTATTGACAAATTAAATTTTGAGTTTACCAGTATTTTGGTTATAATTCGATCTCAAGTGCACATTTAAAATAAATTAGATTAAATTAGATATATGACCATTAAACTATGACTCTTGTGTCAATTAAGTCTCTAAATATTTATTTATTTTTTTATCAATTAAACTCTTCTGTCAGCGTCTGTTAGATTTGCTAACGAAAAGTGGCGCAGTGTGTCACTCGTGTGATTGAGCTTTAATTCATTTGTATCACGTGAGCGGCACACTTCAACACTTTCTGTTAGAAAATTTAATACTTAGCATGTACAGTTATGCCAAGATAACACCAAATAAAAAGACCGTAGTACTTAACCCACCCAAAAAAAACAGAAACAGGAAAAAGAAAAAAGAGATATTTAGTAAGATTCTATGGTAATAAAAAGTTGCCATCGGAGTTATGCTACTAATCCTTGTTTTTGCAAATGAAAAATATGAAAAGCAGCCTCTCTAATTTTACAAGAATTGGAGGATCTTCCGACTCTTTTTGAATGGACAAGATTTATACACAAAAATAGATTTAACTGATTCAAAAAAAATTAAATTTCAAAATTTAAAGTCTACTAAATCAATTGGATGGTTAAGATTTGTACTAACCAATTGATTTACAAGAATTGTCTGACCAAAAATAAAATAAATTTTTACAAGAATTGGAGGATCTTTCGGCTCTCTTTGAATGGTCAAGATTTATACACAAATATCAATTTAGCTTATTCAAATAAAATTTTGAAATTTGAAATTTCAAAATCTACTAACAAATCTTAACAATCCAATTCTTATGAAATGAAATTGGATGGGGGCAAACACCATTGAATTGGAACACTCCAAAAGAGAGAGTTTAACTTCAAACAAAACACCTCTAAACTTTCCCCCATCCTAAACACAAGAGAATGAATAGAACACTCACCATCAAGTTAATGTTAGGCCAATTTAGTTTTCAATTAATTCTATATGTTGGGTTAGTAATCTTTCTTCGACTACTGCTCCATCCTTTTGTAGCTATATCTTGGCCTACAGATGAAATGAAATATTTTGATTGTTGTTGTGTTGATATTGTTTAGAGGTGGTCACAAGGTTGAAGAACTCATCTCTAAAGCGTGTCTACAATATGGCACCATATCTTTGTTTATTTATGTTTGTAGTCTCGCTTTTGCACACCTGATTGCCAAAGGAAATATATTTGTTATTGTTGCTCTTTCTGCAATGTCTATCATTGTGATATCTGGTTTTAAATTTGCTGCAACTTTCCAAGATTCCGTGGCCATTGCTCGTTGGGTGATGCTTCAATCAATCCTCGCTGCGTTTATTCTCTTCCTCAACGGCATGTTTGTGGTGACAATTATAACCATTTTTCCTGTCCTTCCTGCAGTTTTTGCCATGGTGAGTGAGAATTCTCTTTACACACACAGAGTCCTCGTTTTTCATGTTATTTTTAGTGATAACTTGATAGAAGAATATTTGTTTTCTTTTGACGGCTTATTTCATATTAGTTTTGTTATTTGTTTTTTATAACTTATCTCATCTCCTTCTTCTCCGACTTTGTTCTGTTTTGTTTTCTTTCTAAGCGCTTTTCAGTGTTGAAGCCATGCTTCAAATCAAAACATGTTCCAGTTCGTCCTAAGATTGAGTAAGCTCTTCTCCCACTATTTTCGTCTCGACTTTTGCATTAATTTTTTTTTTTAAAAAATTTATTGCTTTATGTATCCAGTCTTACTGCTAAGGTTTTTTTTTTTTTTTTTTTTTTTCACTTCCTCTGCTACTCTTTCTAATTATTATTATTATTTTTTTTTTTTTGGCATTGCAGGAAAATAGACTAAGCAGCAATATTGGGTGGGCAACTTTTTATAATTCTATTGTGTTATGATCCAACGTTGTAGCAGATTTTTTGTGTTACAACTTTGTAGCGAATTATTCTTCTTCTTCTTGCATTTTTTGTGTTACGACTTTGTTTAACTTATATTGTTTTATCAACTACCAATTTATTTCGAGTCCCAAAAGTTTGTGTGTATATTGGCCATTGATTGTGTTTGTATGGTATTGCAGTGAATATTTTAGCTTTGGGATTAGCAAATCTGATTGGAGGACTTTTTGTCATGGGTCACAATGTGAGTAAATTTTCACTTTAACTCCTTTCGGTAATCAACAAATGTTTTGTACCGCAAAACTGGTGCTGGTTGGCAACAAGTATATTACTCCCAAAAATATCCCTAATTGAAAACCTTTCAAATTTTAGAAATATGTGTATATAAGACTCGTCTTGTTCAGATGATCGTGCTTTATTGGTTGGTACCAATTCATGTGTTGATTAGATGCTGAATCATGTTATTGTGCTTGTAGAACTCACGTAACACAAATTTATTTTATATCATCAACTTGATGTAATTCAGAACTCTGATGAATAAAAAAGAATTCATGGCACTGGAGTCGTCACAACCACTGAAATTTTAAGATTTTTGGCTTAAGCAAATGAGAGGAGGCCACCAACTTGGATGGTTTAGAACTAACAATACACCCTGTTACAACAGAGACATTATTTGGATCCAAGTATCTGGAGAGCGTGCTGGCATGGTCACCTTGGAATTGTTTCTAGTTTGTTTGTATCATGAACTAGTTAACTGACGCACTTATAACCAAGGTTTCATCCTTATCACTCTTGGTTATAGTATCATTGGACCCATTAAGGGAAAATATAAGTAGTATGAGGAAATGTAATATTTTGAACTCTGTAATGATTTTGTGCTAATAGAGTCTTCCTTCCTTCCTTCCAACAACGCTATATTCCCCAAAAAAAGTCACTTGCAGAATGTCTAAAATGACAGAAAAGCAACTAACTAGTGGTGTTTTCTTTCGTTCTTTCTGCCTTTCTTTTGCTCTTGTTCATCCTTGAAAGCTACTATTATTGAATAGAGTTGATTTTGAATGTAGTGTCCGACTAGAATTCTATTCATTGACATACATGAAAAATCAATGCATGAGAACTTTCGAAGGATACTGATATTCAAACTAATCCAACTCGGGACCATAACAGTGATACATATGGGAAGGATGCGGAATATGCATTATAGAACATGTTTCTTTTGCATTTACTCAAAGTTATTTGCATCTTAAACTAACATGTTAGCTTACAGCTTTGGGAACTGAAAAAATATCAATCTGGAGGTGCCTCCAATCGGAGACAGAATTTCTTATTTTATGCAACTGCTGCCATGTTATCGTTCCTCATTGTTGGCCTACTGCCTCCAGTCATCTAATACAACTCCAAAGAGAGTGACATGAGAAATAATTTGTCGTAAAAGATCCTTGACCTTCTGGTTGAGAGAACAGTGGTTGTGATACATATTTTTCATCCGGTATAATCACCAGCGACATCTTCTCTCTTTCTCTTCCTCTCTCTCTCGCGCAAACTCACATTCTCACCCACACACCATCCAAAAATCATGGCATCCACTGTTGGGAAACTCTTGGTATGTATAAATATCATTGTTGGTTGCCATGAGATGAAAGGGGAAGAGAGAGAGAGCAAGAATAATGCCCCATCCAATAAATAAATATAAACTTATATAGTAAGAGGCTCTATTGAAAACAATTAAGTATATAAACGGTGGAATTTTCAAGGGGGTTGATTTTTATTGTAGAGTCATCTAGTACATTATTTGAGGTGTTTCGAAAATAATAAATAAGTATTATAAACAAAAACAATAATAAGAAGATGGAGGTAGCAGCCAAATAGAGATACATATGGGCTGTGTGTGGTTATGTGTACACAACTTGTAAGTTGAGTGGTGAGTCATTCTAAAATAGAAGGAATAAAAAGGAGGAGAACACTTTTCAAAAAAAAAAAATAAGAAGAATTGGGCGGAGAGAGTAGAAAAAAATACAAAGAGAAAGGAAAGAAAGAGACTTGGGCATGGGAGTGGATCAAGGATTGTGCCAAAAGGAGAAGGGATGGAGAGAAAAAAATACCCAAATGGGAGAGGGAGAAGTAGGTAGATGTTTAGGTTAAGAGATGATATTTATATGAACAATGAATATAATAATAAGAATATTTTGGTATTTTTACAAGTTATGTGACAGACATCCACTTTTGCAATTTGGTCATGAGTTCAAGGAATTTTAGTGCAAAAGTTTAAAGTTAAGTGGGTCATTTGCTTCCATCTTTTAAGTACCAGAGTTATTTTGCAACCCTTGATCCACTAAACCTTATGAAAATAGAGATGAAATTTTACCTCCTTTATCACAAGGACCCACAGAGCTTGGAAAAGTGAGTCGATGAGGGAGAGAAGTTAGATGATGCAGTGAAAATGAACACAGGTATCGGAAAGATATTCCATTTATGATTGTAAAGGGCAAACAAAAACCCCTTTCTGAAGTGGAAATATACTTTGTAAGTTTGTAAGATGTACAATATTATAAAGTCTTCTTCACCAAACTAATGTATGCACTTCATCCTGGCACTAAATGCTACTGCATCTAGCTTTGCTTGATTTCTTTGATTGTGCTGTGATATTTCATTTACTAGGCATGCCATATTCACATAGCTGTTTTTCTTGTCCTTTTTTCGTTCTTCTTTTTCCTAACTGAATATCATGAGATCAAATAATTATGACGCTAACATGCTCCTATCTATATATATGCCGTATGTATATTTGTTATGTTCGGATGTGTCTTCTGACAATTTCACTCTAATTCTGCTTCCCTATATTTTGTTTTAAAAACATGAAGCTCCTCATTCTTGGTGTCTTTTTTTAATAATTTTGGAAGTATGTCAATGTGAAAATATTTACTATATAATGTCAGAAATTGTTATTGTTCCTGACACAACAGTGCCTGTTTTGCTTATCAATTTGGTGCAGGAGGAGCTGTAAATGCTGTTGATAAATTGGACGCATCAAGCATTTCGGATGAAGTGCTACTCAATCATGGAAGTGGTCAACCGTTGACAACGCTTGCTGGTAGAACCCCAGTTAATAATGGAGAATCTACAGAAAATGCTATGTTGATACCTCAACAGGATGGACTAAAGCTACTGATTCCTTCAGTTGTGGATTCTTCAGTTTGTGAGAAATTGCCGATAGAACAAAAAAACGAGGTGTCTACAGAAAAGAAAAGTGCAGGTAGAAGTCTCACTTTCAATGGTGACAATGATATAGGCATTCCAACTTTCCTTCATAGAGGCTACATGTGCAAATAATTTTGGTCATGGTACTTAAAATTCTTGCTAAATCAACATTTTCGTGAAGCAGTAGCTTACCTTTAAAGATTCCATTCATGAATAGTGGAGGTGGTGTTTTGGTTATTTGATGATTGTTCTTTGGTGCAATGCTTATGTAACCAAAATTTACTGTTGAAGATGTTACAGTGTTGTTATGAAATATTCAAGGGTCATGCCTGCGATACGATTTCCAGTTGAGTAGTGACTATATTGAATTTGCTTTGCAGACAAGGAGACTATTTTCGCATTGCAAACACCGGTTGCTGTACTTGAAGGATCAGATATGAATGTGAAAGTGAGCATTTCAGCAGATATTCCACTTAAAAATGATAAAAATGTTGGGGTCACACTTCTTACTGAACCTGCAAAACAAGGTGAAGATGCAAAATTCAAAAGTACTCATAAAGGTATGCAGGTGATAATATATCGTATTGCTTATGCCTTAAAACCACCTCCATCTGCAGTTCTCTAGTCAATTCAATTGGCTTCCACTATTTTGAGTGTGAAACTCCTGATTTCATGTGCCACCTTTGCAAAGGTTTGCACGTTATACCTTATTGCAATCCAGACTTTCATACATCAGATGTTGTAATTTATTGTGAAGGTGGTTTGATTGAGGCTGTTAAGATTAGGATTGATGTAAACTTCTTGAGTGATTTCCTCTTCAGATATGATCTTAGTAATTTGCATTTAGCAGAAACTGTGGTACTTAGGGAACTTTTGTATACAATTGATATGTCAGAGTCGGGTAAGAAAAGATTTAGATTGGCATGGTAAAACTGATATTGCTTGGAACAAGGCTAGAGCTTGAAGGCACTGCTAAGCATGATGGTGTTACATGCTTATTGTGTAGTCTATCGTGGTATGTAAATGAAATTTGAGTTTGTCCTGATTTTTGGCTTTGTTAAAAATGTTAGTGGTTAAAGAACGATGTAAATTCAAATTAGTCATTTAAAAGTATCTAAAGAGACCAACCTAAACCCGGGTGCAGTTTTTTCTTACTTCAGAACTGGAGATCTAGTTTCATTATTTCATCTGAACTTCAAATTCTGTGTTTTTCTTTGTATTCACTCATCATTACTGTGTCACATTCTCTTGCACTTGTGTTTTAAAGTCCCTGCTGTTTGGGAATTTCCTATTTCTGCTGAATTGATTCCAATCTTCTAATAAATTTAACATGGCTTTTCTGTGAGAAGATAAAGTTACGTTTACATTTACAGATGGAGCCTATCACTCCAAAGTTTCTCAGCATGCCATCACTGGAACCAAAGTGGACATCCCTACAGAGGACCACGTGAAAATTGATAGGAATGTTCTGATTTCATTAGGACAGGATGCTTTGTTGATTCAAGACAATCAAGTTAACCATGCTAAAAGGTTGAAGGCTGTACCTGCTAAAAGCAGAACAGTAAGAATTAGGAAGTTTTATAATAATGTTGCTAGGGCGATCCAAAATCTTTTTCTCCAAAAATTAGGAATACAGCTATTTTAACTGAGACTACCAATTTTGTAATCTGAATGGTGAGCAAGAAACCTTTTTTAGTTGATGTTTTTTGGGCAGGAGCCACCTCCAGCCGTAGAAAACATTCATAACTTCTTTTGCCACTCTCTTTTAACTATGCTCATATTAGTTAACAATTGCCTGCCTGGTTGTGTATGAACCAAAAATCTGCTTATCAGAATAACAGGAATCCTGTTGTGGTGAGATTCCTCATGCTCAGCAAGGGGAAGTTTACGTCCTACATGTGTTTTTTATTTATTGCCTGATGTAAATCATGCTGTTTAAAGGAGAGAGAGAAAGACAAAGGGCGGTAGGGAGGGAAGGATGCCCAGGCTTATGTAAAGGGAGGGAGGGCAGGATACCAATGCTTATGTGCAATTCTTCAACAAGCATTGGAATTTTATGGTACCTACTCTCGGATTTCTGGCTGAGCTAGGCTCCTTGAGTGGGGCTTATGCATCTTATGATTTGCACGATCTACATTGATTTGTGGGGCAGATATGCAACTGTAATTTGTATGTTAAAATTTGCTCTAGATATTGAAGTTTATTGACTTGTGTAGTCCTCTATATTCAATGTCAAAACAAATTAAGACTTTTACACACGCGCCTACACACGTGAGCCTCACACACACACAAACAAATACATAATTCTTATTATGCAGAATTGAGCTAGAGAATCAATTGCAAATGCATGAAATGTTAGTAAAAGTTGTTGAAAGGCTTGAGTTTGACGCATATGGTTTGTGCCAATTCATGACTTAAATGGTTTTATGTCCCCAAAATAATATTCCCTTTTCCATTTTTACATTTTCATGTAATTAATTCTGCTTTCACATTGATAGTTTATTGTAACAATGCATAATTACAGCTCATTTGTATATTTCTTTCCTACTGAAAAATAAATATCAAACGACTGTTCTGTTGTAATCTAATACAGGCAAGGAAACAGTAATAATTGTAGAAGAAGGCCCAATTGAATCAACAGCTACTCAAAGAGCAGAAAATATTGGCAATTCACCAAAAACAGGGCATACACCACATACTACAACTCAACTTCATGTGGGGAGAGTAAGCTCCACAGCTAGAGAAGTTCATGGAGTGGAAATAATTAAAAGCATTGTATACGGGGGATTAATCGAATCAATTACAAGCCTTGGAGTCGTGTCATCTGCTGCTGCTGGTGATGCGGCCACATGTAAGTGTGTTGTAGGGTATTTTTTCTTGTTGTAAGTGCTTACTCTAACACTACTTGTCAAAGATTTGTGTGAATAAGTACTACTAATTTTCTTGGCTTTGCGTCATTTGGTAGGTAGTTGTAAATGATTAATGTTGTGCTTTGTATAAAGGTGACTATCGGCTTCTTTCTATGTTGCTTTATGTAGGCCTCTTTTTCAGCTAAGAAAACAAATCCTAATTTTCACACTTGTTGAATTGAAGCAATAATTGGTAAATGTGTGTGAATCACTGAAGGCTCCATGTTAGATTATCTTGCGTGAGTTTCTACAGCAAGGATTTAATTTTGTAATAAGAGGGATGTTATGTTGGCCCTTTGTTTTTAAATTATGGATTTTAACTTAAAACAGAATAATGCTTGCAGGCCAACATTAGCTGACATTTATAATACATGGTATAAATGACAATAATGATGATATATTGCCCAGTGAAAAAGTAATCTTACCCACTTATTTCGGTATGTTTAGTATAACTTTCATCTTGGTCCAAAATCATGTGTTGTTTCTTTGTTCCTGATGAGTATGATGAGAATAAGGAAACTTCTGCCTAACCTCCTCTACTCTAAATGGTATGGTACCTATTTTCTAATGTAGGCGCTTCAGTAAAATCTAAATCACTTCTGGGATTTTTGTATAATTTATTCCTGCATTTTTTGTGTTACAACTTTGTTTAACTTATACTGTTTTATCAACTACCAATTTATTTTGAGTCCCAAAAGTTTGTGCGTATATTGTTCATTGATTATGTTTGTATGGTATTGCAGTGAATATTTTAGCTTTAGGATTAGCAAATCTGATTGGATGACTTTTTGTCATGGGTCACAATGTGAGTAAATTTCTACTTCAACTCCTTTCGGTAATCAGCATATGTTCTATCCCGCAAAACTGGTGCTTGTTGGCAACAAGTATATGACTCCCAAAAATAACCCTATCTGAAAACCTTTCAAATTTTAGAAATATGTGTGTATAAGACTCGTCTTGTTCAGATGATCATGCTTTGTTGGTTGGTACCATTTCATGTGTTGATTAGATGCTGAATCATGTTATTGTGCTTGTAGAACTCACGTAACACAAATTTATTTTGTATCATCAACTTGATGTAATTCAGAACTCTGATGAATAAAAAAAGAATTCATGGCAAAGGAGTCGTCACAACCACTGAAATTTTAAGATTTTTGGCTTAAGCAAATGAGAGGAGGCCACCAACTTGGATGGTTTAGAACTAACAATACACCCTGTTACAACAGGGACATTATTTGGATCCAAGTATCTGGAGAGTGTGTTGGCATGGTCACCTCCAATTGGAATTGTTTCTAGTTTGTTTGTATCATGAACTAGTTAACTAACACACTTATAACCAAGGTGTCATCCTCATCACTCTTGGTTATAGTGCTAAGGGAAAATATAAATAGTCTGTGAAAATGTAATATTTTGAACTCTGTAATTATTTTGTGCTAATACAGTCTTCCGCCCTTCCTTCCTTCCAACAACGCTATATTCCCCTAAAAAAAGCCACTTGCAGAGTGTCTAAAATGACAGAAAAGCAACTAACTAGCGGTGTTTTTCTTTCGTTCTTTCTGGCCTTCTTTTGCTCTTGTTTCTCCTTGAAAGCTACTATTATTGAATAGAGTTGATTTTGAATGTTGTGTCTGTCGGCTAGAATTGTATTCATTGACATACATGAAAAATCAATGCATGAGAACTTTCCAAGGACACTGATATTCAAACTAATCCAACTCAGGACCATAACAGTGATACATATGGGAAGGATGTGGAATATGCATTATAGAACATGTTT